CCATCACGTCAACATCGGACGAAAGGGGGTTCCGCGGCAGGATCCATCGCCGAGCGCTTGGGGTGCTTGGGGTGCTTGGGGCGAGCAACCCACAGACAAATTCCTGCTTGCTCCTGCGAAACGGGACGGAAGAAAAGATGGGATGAAAAAGTAACCATCCACGGATGCTGGTTGAGGGCCAGCTCCGTAGGGTTGCAACCTTTGGTAGCGACTGCGAACGGCTTTGGTCTTGTCCCAGATTCTGCTCTAACAGACGGAAGACCCGCTCGCGATGCAACGGCGCTTTGTGCTTACCACTCCACCACGCAACAACCCAGAATGACACGGCAGCATCCTGGAACTTCTATGTACACACTGACGGGTTCGCTTTCTTCTACTACTACTCAAACCCTGGGTTTTTTCTTGGGGGCTGCCTCCCCTGTCAAAATGCTGGCCCCCCCTTTTTATGACTTGACTTTTGGCTGGGCGGCAACATATCCCGCAAATGTGTCCCGTCATCCATCTAGAAGCTCTTGGGCTGCGTCAGATGTGATGGGGGGATGGGGGAGGGAGGATCCGCTCGTTGACCCTGAGGTGACGATAAGTTATTTATCTTCTCTTGCTCAACCCCGGATATAAAAAGGGGATAAGAGGTGGTAAAGACCGCACGGCCCAAGGGGTAAAAACAAGGGCCTAGATGCTCAGATCTGACAAGAGATCTCCCCGCCTAGGAGGTCGATCTTACCTGGCACTTGGTCAACTTTTGGGATTGAAGGATAACACACACACACACACAAATGGCACAGCGAAAAGGCTTCAAGAGCCGCCCAGTGATTTTTGTTGGAGTCTCGCTCATCCAATAGCTGCAGTCTTAAGTGTATGAGGCCTTATATGATCGCCCTGACCTATGCATGCGGTTCGCAGATCTACGCCGTTGTGTCCTTTAATCTCGGCTGCATTGGTCCTGAGGCGGGAGAGGGTAGCATTCTTGCGTTACAAGGTATTTACCAGAATGGGGTGCCACGCATGCTCCATGAGGAGGAGGGAGAGCTTGACTTGGCCAAAGTAGGAAAGTCGGAGGGTGTTGTAAGGCTGGTCTGGCCCTGAGCTTGCAGGTTGTCCGGTGGATATGACTGACTGGCTACCTCACTGTGATGATGACTGGTGGATCTCTACCTGCTGATGAGACAATTATAGGAAGGAGAAAGGGTATTCAAAAACGCAGGCCAAGGCTTTTTTCTTTTTTTCTCACGGCTCGGGTGCTTATTCCGACGGAGAATATTCTCCTTGGAAAATTTCCCTAAATTTGGGCAGAATGTTGGGAAGATGCAGCTCTTTCCTGCAACTGCTTGCTTGGTGCATGATGAGTGAGGATGACATGAGGATTATGATTTTCATGGGTAATGGACTCTGGGACTCAGGATCATGCCATCATATCATGGAGCTGATCAACGGGGGATTGGAGTATCAGCAAACAGCTACTGACTACCACCCCATACTCCCAGCTGCCTTCCAGGTTGACAACAAGCATTCCTCATCCCGTTGAACCACCATGGCTTTCCACTTTCTTCCCGCTTCGATCCACGGATCAGTTGCCATTCATTCGTCCGTCTCGATCGGTTGACATGGCCTTCATCGGTGAGACGCTATATTCAACCCGAGAGGCCCACGCAGAAGCGAGGGGAATGTGTTCTGGAAATAGTACACGATGATTTCACGGTACTTTAGCCCGCGACCTCCGCCAGATGCGCGGTATATTCTTGCTTGACCACCACGGCGAGATTAACTCCTTGCTTCCGTTTCCTTTCTTGCAGGACATGTCTTTCCCTGTTTACAGCCGGGATTGGGTACCTTTCATGACTCCATCACGAAACAAGGTCAGATAACTTGCTCAAGACAAAAAAGACAGGGAACCCTGAGCAGGAAGCAATTTTCTCTCCGGCTACAGTTGCCGCAGGTAGACAGTAAGAAGGATGCCCAAGTTTGATCAGTTACATCATCAATCAGGAGCAGTAGCAAAGACCGGGCTGACCAAGATAAAGCAACACCAGATGAGTGTAACATTATTTCCCTCATTGCAACGCCCACCACACACACATATGAAGCAAGCAAAGCCCAGTATATATTCCCAAAGGGCCGCGAATCCGTACCCCAAGAATATCATTCCAGGGATATGACAATGTAACCTTAATCTTTTGTCCCAGTCAAAAAAAGAAGATTCCGTACAATCCCGGCAACTTGGTTCTATATCCGCTTCGTGAAAAGGTTCCAGTCCGCCGTTGTTGGTAACACCCGTACCCGTCGTTCAACTTACCCGCATCCAGACCCGGAAACAAAGAGTGTTGGATGGAGAGCCTATCGTTGGGTGCCATGAACCTGACGGTCGGGACGGGATTGGGTTGGTTGGAGCTGGAGATTTGGACGGGTGTGGGTTGGTGGTAATCGGTGCCGAGGGTTGAGCGGCGGGTGACTACACGACTTGGGCGTGTTCGGAGGCGGGTTGGAGGGTGAGAGGTCCGATGAAAGACAGGGGGGAATGTGATGTTTCTAGGAGTATTGAAGGAAGAGATGAATTCATGTGTAATTGATGTCATGTAACTCGAATAGACTTGATATACAGCAGACTTCCACCTAAGGGCCCTCAAGAGGCAGTACAATGCATGCAGAGATACAATCCCCTTTCCAACCTCCAGTCCCCAGGCCCACCTGTATGACAAGTCCACACTACTACCCAGCTTTCTATGCCAACCGGGAATTTTTTCTCGCTCAGCCGGAGATCCAGTCATCGATGTAGGTAACGATAGTAATGTCAAAAAGACAACGAAGCCACAACCCAATGATACCAGCCAACTACCAACCACTTCGTATCGCCTAACCTAGTTGGAAACGGTGTTCCACAATTCCGCCAGCAACAAAGTCCCTCTCCCAATCGAAGCAGTAAGAGAAGGAAAAGGCTTCGGCAGATCGCAGAAGAAGGAGATAAATACCCCTCTCCATTTCTTGTATCACCCTTCCACATAGATTCACTTTTCTTTTCTCCAGTACCCTTCCGAAGATGTCTTGATCTCCCAGTGTTAGCGACGGCGGCTTGCTGCGCAGATCAGATGGGAAATGTGGTTCAATGATGGCACGGCATGAGCTTGCAGAAAGAACGTGTATACAACGCTGAAATTGACATGTAGCCCCCATCCTGGTGTCCATGAGTTACAGAGCCAACGGCCGTGATCACCGCATGATAAGAAAGATCGTGCCATGTAGGCACCTGTAAGAGCCCTACCTGACATTCCGGAGCGATCTACTTCTTTTGTCTATTCCCAGGTCTCAAATAAAGTGGCCTGGAGACCTCATGGGCTAATTCAGGGGTAAGAAGGGAGTTGCTCAAGCACCAACATTTCAGTGTTAGTTGTCTTAGTCGCCAGGGCAACAAGCTTTACTTGTAAGCGTTATAGGTACCAAAGCACCAGATAATACAACATGTCAACAGACAAAATAGACACATGAAGATGATGCATTGTCAACGTGGAACTCTGAAACACTTCCTTGTGTAGGCAACCAAGTAGTTCAAAAACACTCATTGCACTATACAAAACCGATCCCCATACGCCCCTATCCAAATCAATCTTTACCATCTAAGCAGCACTATCAAACCCATCAAAAGATAAGGAAACTTGCCTCACAACCCTCAACCAGACACAGATACTCACTCTTTCCAAAACCCCAACAATCCCCAAAACTGACATATTGACAATCAGCTACCTAACTACAATACACCGCCTCGCCACAGCATAACCTCGTCATCACACCACATCACCCCAACCACCCCTAAATCCCTCCCCCTTCATTGGCACCAACAACTGAGACATTTTTCCGGTAACCGTAACCCTTTGCAACCTTGGGTAAGCAAGTAACAAAAACAACATGCACACACACACATACACAAAAAAAAAGAATTTAATATATCGTACACAGACCATCCGCGTGTTTCCGTGCTCCCTTCGTTTCATGACTTTGTATTGCACCCACTGAATCTCACATCAACAGAGCTATTAAAATACCAATCTTAACCATCAAACCTCGAAACCAAAACCCACGCTACTACAACCATCAGTGAGTGCCCCAAATAGGTATTATAATTATACATCACCACACAGCCCAGCAGGATGCCAAAAGTCCAGAGAGAAAAAAACAAGGGTACCTCCCAAGCAGTGTAACAAAATCCCATCCATGCAAAAAATGCAGTACCACCCTTCCTCTTAACCTTCCCCCTAGCAAGTTCAGCTTGCTTCTTCTTCCGCCGCTTCCTCCGTGTGTGTGTGTGTGTGTGTGTGTGTGTGTGTGTGTGTGTGTGTGTGTGTGTGTGTGTGTGTGCGTGTGCGTGTGTGTGTGTGTGTGTGTGTGTGTGTGTGTGTGTGTGTGTGTGTGTGTGTGTGTGTGTGTGTGTGTGTCGTGTCAGTCTGCACTACATAATACCGCAGCGAAAAAGTTAAGTAACTAGTAACCTAGTACCATACATCCACATTACATTACATTGCATTGCATGCGACGCCGCCACAGGATGCGTAATGCATATGTAGGTCAAGGTAGGTAGGTACGTACACACATGTCTTCTGCAGCAGTTCCATGTCACGTTGGAAAGTGGAGGGAGGGAGAGGTTCGAGAAACCAACTGTTTGTTGTTGTTTTAGTCTAGATCAACCCTACCCCTGAATCTGGCCCCCTGATCGTAGGCCATACATAACCCGGAATTTTACGACCCCTGGTTGGTGATGAGAACATCTAACCCTGATATCAAAAGTGGACAATAATCAATGAACCTCACAACCTATGATCATAATCTCCACTCATTGACGCCCTCGAAACTCCTCGTGATAAAAACCATGAAAAATATCTCAATTACAATACCAATACACGCTATCTTACTCTTCCCCCTTTCCCCTCAAAAGCAAAACAAAAACAAACTCCGCTCACATATGTACCCATAATAGCCATGCCTCATCATCCATCATCATGACCACCCCTTTCTTACAACCGACTCTGAACAGCAACACCCTTCCTATCCACCGGCCACTCCGCATCAGGCCAGACAAACCGTATCGCCTCCCAGATATGCTCCACATGCACAATCTCCAACCCATCCTTCACCTCCTGCGGCAAGTCCTTCACATCCTTCCTGTTCTGCGCAGGTAGCAACACAATCTTGACTCCCGCCCTCAACGCACCAATAAGTTTCTCCTTGATGCCACCGACGGCAGTGACGCGGCCACGGAGGGAGATTTCGCCCTTGACAGAGAAAGTTAGCGTCTTGCGTAGAATGAGAGAAGAAAAGACATACCGTCATGGCCATAGTAGGCGGCACCGCCCTCCCACTAAACAAACTAACCATCGCCACCGCCTGCGCAATCCCACTGCTCGGCCCATCCTTGGGAATACTTCCACTAGGACAATGCACATGAATGCTCCTCCCCTTCATGATATCCTCCCCCGGGTTCTGCGTCAGCCCAAGCTCGTACGCATTCGCCTTCACCCACGTAAGCGCCACCTCCACACTCTCCTTCAGCACATCCCCCAGTTTACCCGTGAGTTGCAACCTTCCACTGCCCGGCATGTCCGCCACCTCGATAAACAGGATGCTCCCATTCCCTCCCGAGCTATACGCCACTAAGCCCGTGACAATCCCTGGCCTGCTCGTCTTCTCCGCAATCTCCTCCTCAAACTTCTCAATGCCGAGGAATCGCTCAAGATCATCCACCGTCAGCACAGGATTGTACTTCTCCGGGTGTCCCGCATCCTTCGCATCCGCGTACTCAACCGCCTTCCCCCTCAACACCGACCCAATCTCCCTTTCCAGATTTCTGACCCCCGCTTCCCGTGTATAACTCTCAATGATCCTCCCCACCACCTCCTCCGTAAAAACAACCTGCTCCTCCCTCAACCCGTTGACCCTAATCTGCTTCGGTACCAAATGCTGCATGGCAATATGCCTCTTCTCCAACGTGGTGTACCCCGGAATGTAAATCGTCTCCATCCTGTCCAGCAGCGGCGCCGGGATGGTATCCAGGCTGTTGGCTGTGGCAATGAACATGACCTTGCTCAAGTCAATAGGGATGTTGATGTAGTGATCGACAAAGTTGTGGTTCTGCTCCGGGTCGAGAACTTCCAGCATGGCAGCAGAGGGGTCGCCGTGGTGGTTGGAGCCGCCAATCTTGTCGATTTCGTCGAGCAGGACGACTGGGTTCGCCACGCCGACTTTCTTGAGGCCCTGCACTATAAGACCTGGCATGGCTGCGACATAGGTTCTTCTGTGGCCGCGGATTTCCGCCTCATCGCGGACGCCGCCGAGGGAGATGCGGTGGAACTTGCGGCCGAGGGCTGTAGCGACGGAGCGGGCAAGGGAGGTCTTGCCTACACCTGGGGGGCCGACAAGCAAAAGAATGGGGGACTTATCAACCATTCTCTTGCTGCGAAGAATCTCAACCTTGGCACTATTAGCCTTGATCTTCTCCTCCAGGGCAGTAGTTGCATCAGCAGCCTTCTCGGCCGCTTCCTCCGCCTCCTTAGTGTCACTGTGGGCACTAGCGGCCCCAAGCTCCTCCTCCACCTTCTTGATCTCCTTGTCAACCTCCTCATTCACACTCTGCTTCAACCTCAGCACCGCCAAGTACTCCAGCAGCCTCTTCTTGACCTTCTCCAACCCATAATGATCCTCATCCAACTGCTTCCTCGCCCTCGGCAGCGTATGCGGTCCCAGCCGATCATCAGTCGTAACCGTCCACGGAATCTCCGCCAGCGTCTCCAGATATGTCCGCGTAACAGCATACTCAGCCTGCGCGGGATGGATCTTTTTCAGCCTCTTCAATTCCCTCTCCGCCACCTTGGCCGCCTCAGGCGAAAGCTTCGCAGCCTCCAGCCTCTTGGCCAACTCCTCAATCTCATTCGGTTCCTGATCCTCCCCATCCTGCCCCCCTCCTCCAATCATCCCCTTTGGCTGCTGCCCCCCCGAAAACATTCCCGGCAACCC